TGTGCTGCCGCCGGGAAGTAGGAGGAGTCAATTGATGGCCGGACCGGCACTGTCAAACACGGCTACCCGAGGTCCCCAGCAAGCGTGGGGCCCCGAGCAGCCAAACTTGTTTAAAATTTAAAGGGCCGGTATTGTCCTTTAGAATCGGGGCATTTACTAGTACTAGTACCTGTATCGGCCTGCCTAGGAACCGCCCACTCCTCCAGACTGACACCCACCCATCGAGGCATTCTGATATTTGCATAACTCCTCCCAAGAGCCCGCCCACTTGCTTGCATCAGGGCTAAGGGTTCCTCAGAGGAGTACCGAGGCAGGGTGCCGTGATGTTTCCAGGAAGCTATGCAAGTCTGGCAAGTTGCCATGAGTGTCCCAAGGGGGGAAACTTTATATAAGTCAGCCACATCCAAAATGTGTAATGGACCCGGTGAATCTTGGGGGGCTATTCACAAAGCTAGCAGAAGGATCACCGTAGCTACGACTGATCCTTCGGCCGCCTGAGCCCTTTGGTTCAGTAGAGCCAAAGGGCTGCTGTACGGGCTATTCACTATAGAGTGTACAGCTCCCGAAGTTGGCCAAACGGTTCGGTCATATGCTTCCGCTCGACAGAGCCGAGGTGAAAGCCGAAGCGGGCCGAACTGGGGCTGGCTCCGGCCACTTGCAATGACAGATTAGCGTCCCCCGGTTACCAGGTAACCAGGGGACGCTGATCTGTCATTACGATGAGCCGGCTCTTTCGCTCCCTCAGGGAATAGTTGTCGGCGGCAGTGGCGTCACAAGGGGGGTGGGGGCCGCACAGTCATTTTCGTGTCACCCCCCTCTGAAAAGTCGGACGCTCGGTCATGGACCGAACGCCCGACAGTATCAGGAGAGAGGAGGGGGCCCGGCGGCATACCTTATCCCGCCGGGTGACTGTCCCCTCCTCTCTCTGCCGGCGTCCATCACCAAGATGGCCACCAGCAGGTATCAGAATACTGCCGCGCGAGCGCGATGACGTCATCGCGAGCGCGCATGGTGACGTCACGCGCAGTGACGTCTCGGCGGGGTGACACTCGGTTACCGCCCAGCTCTCATGACAGTTCAGCGTCCCCTGGTAACCAGGGACGCTGATCTGTCATTACCACAAGAGCTCAGCGGAGCCGGCTTTCATATCACCGCCGGCTCCGCCAAACTCTCATTGTAATGACAGCTCGTCCCGGCCAATAGAAAACAGTTAGGCGGAGCTAGCCGTCACTGCCTACTCCGCCCTATCGGTTTCTACTTTTTTTTAACTGTTTTTCTATTCTGCTCGGTACCACGGAGGTACCACTGAGCATGTTTGGCCGACCCGAAGCCAGCCGATGTACGGCTGAAACCGACTGTACAAGCCTGAAGTGAATAGCCGAACAGCGCTCGGCTCACTTCACTTCGGGTCGGTTATTCATGCGGCAGCTTTGTGACCTCTAAGTGTCTCTCCTGTTTTTTTTTAGTTGTGAAGTTGCGTTGCTGTGTGGCCGTCATAGAAGCGCGCGTCGCTTACCACCACCATTTTTATGAACGCACCAATCATGCTCTTGATGTTTCCCTCAGCCATGGCCAAAAAAACTTTTTGGTGGGACCGGGCAGCATTTTTTTAACGTACTTAAAATTCAACCTCCATCTCCTCTATTATCCCAAATCAAAAAAAAAAAAAGTTTCCTTTAAGCCCACCGTTCCCCAAAAAATCATTCCCATAGAGATAGCAATATTATTGATGCCGTTGTTATGCTAATTTCTTTTTTTTTTCCAAGGAATAAAAAAATTGAAAAATGTGGAATTTTCATACACATCAAACCTGGTCAAAAAAGAAAACGCTCAAACTTTTTTTTTTAATTCTCTAT